ATTGTGAAGCGTTCGGTCTTATCCATAAGACCACTTTGCCTCACTTCTAATAATTGGTTCGCTTCTTGGTGTTTAACACTTTCTGCATGTTAATCACTTTACAAAATATGCTGATTTAGTGATTTTAAGCTTTCGGGATGCATTATTATTATTATTATTTTTGTAGTCTGATGATGTCAAGATCGCCCGTAATTTTCTTCTTTCAGTTACTGATATTACTAATATAATAGTGAGGTTTTATGTTATTTTCATTTATTTTGCAAACTGCTGACTTACACTTAAACTTCAAGTGATATGACAATAGGCCACTGCCCTGACATAGCATAATGAATAGAACACGGATCTATTCAATTCAGTATATGCTACGAATTCTATAACAGGGCATCAAAAAGAAGTAAAACATAACATAATCCAATCGTGATTTGTCTTCCTTGTTGGAAATCTTGCCCCACCACTTTACCCACGACTGATATTATCCAGGCTACGCCACTAAGACATTAAGTAGACCAAGCAGGCCCATTATCATAGTTCTTCGGTTTGCTTTTTCAAAAACTAGTAATTGTTTATACGACAATAATGTTTTTGTAGAAAGTAGCTTTTAGTAGGACTTATGGACCTACAAATTATATAGCGGGGTTGGACCGGACCATGAGCCTAGTTACTGCCCAGAGAGGGGTGAGGGGAGGGGGGGGGGGCACTTTAGAATGTGTTTTGTTTGGGGGATAGGGGGCTTGAAGAATTTCGGACCTTGAAGGTTTTCGCGTCAAGTAGCGCACAAAGAGGTAATGCAATTCCAATATGAACCAAACATTTTTTTTTTTGGGGGGGGGGGGGGTGAGAGTGATGGTGATGGTGATGGGTAAGGAGGTCTTTATAAGGTCTACTTAGTGCAACAAAATAAAAGCCGTGAGAAACTTGTTATTTTTTAAATTTTGCGGTAGGGTATTTAGCCCTCGTAGCTAAAAGGGGGCAGGATCTAATGAAAAATACAGAAAAAACACAGGAAAATTACGAAATATAAACATAAATATGCATGCCGGTTCAGAACAAGTAAAAACATTAGGCCTAATTAATTCGAGACATGATAAATTCAAAGCAAACACAGAAAATACATGTAATAGTTATTCAAGTCCATGTATACATGCAATCAGGTGCGGATCCAGGGGCGAGGAGGCCTTGCCCCCCCCCCCCGCCCCCCCCCCCCCCCCCCCCCCCCCCCCCCACAAAAAAATAAATAAATAAAAAAGAGAGAGAGAGAGAGAGAGAGAGAGAGAGAGAGAGAAGGAAAAGAAGGGAAAGGGAAAGAGGATAGAAAAAGAAAGAAAGAAGAGGAAGAAGAAGAAGAAAAGAAAAGGGGAAAGAAGGAGATCGGGATCGGGGGGGGGGGAGGCGAAAGGGCTAAGCTTGTTGCCTCCCAGGCTGTTGCCTTCCCCTCCCCCACCCCCTCCTCCGCCATCAAAAAATAAATAAAGAAGGAAGGAAAGGGGAAAAGGGGATGGAGAGGGTAAAGTATACGCCTTTAGTCGTACAAAAAGTACATATTGTCTTTCTTGGCATGTTTGTCCAAAGAACCTGCTACGTATTTAAATATGTTAAAGTGATCTAGTAAACAACCAATCTTTTCACTCTGGTTCTGAAGGGTGTAAAACACAACCTGTAATCATATTATATTGAATATTGGATCTTAATACCGACCCTGACATCTTTATTATATCACGTACGACAATGACTTGTTTTCACACATAACATATTTAAGCTGATCCTATTGAAAATGGATATTGATTGATAGTATCTGGATAATCTGGCCATCTCAGATACATTACTAGTTGATAATGATCGCCGAGGAATAATGAACTCTTAAGGATTCACAAAACTCAGTGTTTAGGGCGGGTTTCGAGGGACACAGAAACTATAACCATATTCATTACCGAGTAAAACATTATATTCAAACTTGGTTTATTTCTAATTCGATACCAGTAATTTACAAATGTTGCTGAAATTACATAATTTTCGGGAATTTTTCTCACTTTTTTATGCGTTTGTTGGAAGATGACAAATTCCCAAATTTACAGTCAGGCAAGAAATATGCTTATTTAGAAGCCTACAAGTCATGTCAGGGCCCGCGAAACGGCGGGGCTCGGGGGCTCGAGCTCCCCCCAGAAAAAGTATATTGAAGAGAAATAGAAAAAAAAAGAAAAAAGAAAGAATAGTGACCTGCCAGTGACACAAAATAAAGAGGTATCAAAATAAGCTCATCTGACCGTGATTAAATGCCTAGAAACCCCTGAGCTTCCGGAGTACTATCCCCTGGATTCCACCTGGCTCTAGGGTGGCTCGAGTCCCCCCCCCCCCCCGAAATTTTGTATTAAAGATAAATAGAAAGAAAGAGAGAAAGAAAAAGAGAATTAAAGAAAAAAAGAATAGTGACCTGCCAGTGGCACAAAATAAATATGCTCATCTGACCGTGATTAAATGCCTAAAACCCCTAAGCTGCTGCTTTAAAGAATTACGTACCAATATTTGGTTCGCATGATTTCAAATTTGGCCACCCCCCCCCCTCAGAAATCCTGGATCCGCGCCTGCGTAGAACTGCTCACATTATAAGTCACCATTTTGAGATGTAGGGGTATAAGATGGCTGACCTAAAAAGGTGACCTTACCCCCCCCCCCCCCCCCCCAACGGAGCCAAATGTCAAATGTTCAAATTTCGAGACCAAAAAAAAAAAATGTCCTCTTACCCCCCCCCCCCCCCCACCCGCTTATTCAGCGGTCGGCTGAGTCGTTGCGATTTTTTTGGGATAAAAAAAAATGTCCTATTACCCCCCCCCCCCCCCCCCCCCTTGCTTATTCAGCGGCTGGCTGAGTCGAAATTTTCGGCCTGATTTATAAATATTAACCCGGCCCCCGGCCCCCTTGGAAAAAATCCTGCGTACGCGCCTGGCTGCAGTTTTGCATTGGATGGCTCTGGTTGCACAATATATAGTGAATAGCCGGTCATTATGCAATACTAAATCCATGTAGTGCACGGTTCAATTGATATAATGTATTACTCTAGCTCTGACATTGATAATTTCATCAAAATTGTTTTAAGTAATCAATTAGGATCAATTTTATTTGCCAAATAAAATAAAAATAAAAAGGAATAATTTCAAGCTTTAGGCAGGCTGGCAGTTTTTGACAATCATCAGATGTTTGTTGGGTTTTATTTTCCTTTAAATATATGGGAGGCATGTACAACTGTTTATGTTACGATATGTAAACATTCACAAACAATGTAAACTTTTTAATAATTTCAACTTACATCATAAAAGAAATAAAACTATTACAGTACAGTGCGTCCTAAGTATACCACATTTCCCATAGAAAATGTATATATGACTTGGTGAGGGGATTTGGTGATGCAATTAAAAAGAAGATTAGCTGAGTAGGATTCATGATTTCTTAATCTTAGTTCAATTCAATTCAATTCAGAACTTTATTTCAGACTCAACTACACAAGGCAGAGGTCCATAAAACATATGTTACATAAATATATAGGGAGTATAAACATGATGAGTATAATAACAACAAAACTATACAAAAAGTATAACTAAACTATACTAGGTCTACAGTACGTACAAACAATCTAAACTCTAAGAGTAACATGTAACCTGCAAGGTTGATAAAAAAAAAAAAAAAAAAAAAAAAAAAAAAAAAAAAAAAAACATAATAAACTAACTCTTAGCTGTACCTGTAACTGTAAGATTAAAATAAGTACATGTATAACAATCAATAACAATCTATTGAAGTTGTATCTTGTAACAATCTGTCTCTGTTCAACTAACCAGAACGATAAACTTATAATAAATAACTATTATAAAAAACAAACAAACAAGGATACTGGAATCCTTGGTAACAGGAACATAATGGTCAATTGCCATGTGTCAGCAGGCTATTCAGCCAAAATCTCCAGAGGCCCGATGTGTACCTAAGACAACTATACGAGGGGTTCACTAACATCTTTAAAATACCATTCTCAGACACATCCACTCTCTGGATGAACTTATACATAAGATTTCGTAATACAGCCGAACAGGCTGGAACATTCAACTCAGCAAACATTTGACTAGCACTAAAGTATCTAGGTACCCTAAGAAGCATTCTCATGGCATCATTATAGGCAACAGTAAGCCTGTACAAACTGCTCTTCTTAAAATTACACCACAGATGCGCAGTGTATAGAGGTGTACAGTATGCCCTAAATAAAGCCACCTTCACATCCGGAGAACACATATGAAATTTCCTAACAAGCATATTACCTTGAGCATATAATTTACGACACTGTCTACTAATATCTTTATCATCACTGAGATCCTCAGTAAAGAAATGACCAAGATACATGGCCTCTGTACAGACATTGAGTTTAGCTCCACACAAATAAAAATCCGGGAATACCAATCTATGGTGTTCCTTACATCTAATTATCATAACATGACTCTTTTTTGCATTATATTTCACATCATTATCATATCCATAATGAGAACAAATCTTGAGCAGACTCTGCAACCCAGCAGTTAACGGGCTAATAATAACGAGATCATCTGCATACATTAAATGATTGACTACCATACCACCAACTACACAGCCTTTTTTACAAGCATTCAGATTGTCAGATAGACCATCCATGTACAGGTTAAAGAGAAAGGGAGAAAGAATACCACCTTGTCTAACACCATTACTGACATGGAATGGTTCAGAGACACTACTTCCCCATCTAGCCATCATTGTTTGATGGGCATACCAAAACACGAGTATCCTAATCAGGTACTTAGGAATACCTCTATCAGCCATTTTCGTTAAAACCATAGAGATATATATCTCTATGGTTAAAACATAGTTCATAGAAAAGGCTTACAGAACAGATACACAAGAGCGGTCGTATTTAAAATGCGATCTGTACACTCATCAAATTGGCAATTTCACACATTATTGGTGAACCTGTTCCTTTGATGTGCATGCTACCTTCAGCTGCTATTTAGCTCAGTTAAAAATTTTGCATTTAGCACAACATTTTGAAGAGGCAGGACACAGCTAATAAGGACCTTTCTTTACGTGCGATTTGATTCTATACGCTCCTTCTTCTTTTTCTACAGAATACCTATTGAAATCTGACAAGATGGATTTGCGATTTTTATATTTTGCTTCTTCTCTGATGCTTGTCTTGGGTAAGTATAACCCTTTTTTCTTTAACTTGTCACTCGTACTAGTGTCGCATCGCCTGTAGTGAACGCCGGGGAATGTCGTTGTTGACATGACTGTTGACATTGCATGACCCGAGGAAAGTCTCACTCTCACTTGGACCTAGTCTCAGCTCAGCTCAGCTCAAATTGACAGTGCGTCTCGGAGCTAAGCTGAGACGAGCGGTACGATGCAGATCTATATTATATTTTGCAGCATTGCAGAACCAGATATTGATGTTGTTCTTTGAGTTTAAGCCAGTGTATTTTAGCATGAAAATCGAAAACCTTAGGCCTACCCTATTATTTGTGACTGAGCTGTTTGTGAGTTAACTCCGGGAAGCTCCGACGCCGATGCCAAAGGCGTTGGAGCTTCGGGTGGTGCTTTAAAAAACATTCTAACAGCGGGTTGGGCGACATTATCTAAATATATGCAAAGGGAGTAATTACAATTTTTGACTTACTAGGTTGCTCGACTCCTCTGGGCATCTACCCATCAACTTGAAATTATAATTTGAAAAAGTCTTCGATGGAAAAAGGGGGTGATTCCTCGTCCTACCCCAACGATTCTTGATGAAACAACATGCAAGAATCGATGGGGCAAATAGTCAACTTTCATGGAAAAGCCTCTTAATAATATTCCATTACCCCAATCTCTTGCCTGGCTCTTTAAATTTTGATATTATTTGATTGTTATGATATGGTGTTATTTGCAATTTTGCATCTACATGGTGTATGTCATCAGCAAACTAATCTTGTTAAACTTAAAGAAAGTTATGAATGTGGTTGTTGTAATTAGTTGTACAGTGTGATCTATAATTATAAAACATGAATTGCAAGTTTGCAACTGTGTAATAATTACTTACTTACTTTGGTTTACTTTGGTGTCGAGGCTTGAAGCTTCAGCTTATGTGCCCCTCTTTACTGCATTAAAACATCTTTCAAAATTCAAGGTCTTCTCCAATTTCCTCTCGAAACTGAAATTTCAAGTTTTGTGGTTATTATATATTTAGACCCTAGGAAAGAAAAAAAAATCACAAAGGGATTAAATATGTGCAAACATTATTCAGTGTAGTAATTGAAATTCTATATCTTATAGAAAACAGAGCTATTTTTGGTTGTGTGGGTTTTGGGTGTTTTTTTAAAGGTACTAGGGTCTAGTTATGTCCCATTTGCAGGCCAAAAAAAATGAAAAGGTTAAATTCCAACGGCATTTGAAAGATAATACTAATTAAGAACTTCCCTAAAAAAGGTGGTGCTTAAAAATGTCTTCAAGTGGGAAAATAACGACTATTAGTTGTCAAATTGACTTAGGAGCTATAGAGCCAATAAGTAATAGTCTTGATTTTCAGACCATTGTACCGAATGGTCATACCTTTTATGCTGCGCGAAGATTCAATCAGTTTAATTTTGGCCATCACAAGAAGTGGGTTATTGATGTAGACAATGCTCATGTACCCTTTACAGCTCATTTTATGTACATGTATGTTATTACCAAAGAAGAAGAAAAGCCAGTCAATCACTCAATAGTGTCAGACAGTCAAGTCTAGCAAGTAAACGGGTTTCCTTGCATAATTGGAATGTTAGGACACTGCTAACGTTAACAAATTTCACAGATAGGACATACAGTACATGACATATTCATAATTCCTGCTAAGTTCTACATAATTTGAGGTTGGCTGCAAAATGGACATAGTACCTTTAAGGTGCAGAGAAAATGCATATAAAGGACCATCAAACCAAAAGATGTACATGTACATATACATGTACAGTCACAAAGTTGCCAACTTTGTTTGGTTTATTGCAAAATTTATTCATAACTTCTTACTTTTACTTCTTACTTATATCTTACAACTACGTATATGTATTCTCTGCTTCCATTATAAAACAATTGTAATATCAGAATGGACCTTCCCTTTAATTGGTGCCTTATGTTTTTGTGTTAGTGTTTGTATGTGCATGTAAATAGATGTTGGAGGTTTGACGTGTTTAATGGGTGTGTGTCCCTTTAAAAAAATGATCTATAACACAGATGATAGTTTTACGAACTTCTTTATGTAGCGAGTCAAGTTTGTTTTTACCCGTCTTTATTTAGGTGTTCATTCCCCCGAGTTCTTACAAGCTGTAAGAACAGGACTGGTGTCAATTTATTTGTTACTTCAGGTTGGGCTAAATCACTGCCAGACAAGCCTTGATGTCCCTCCTCTAGCTGTAAGGCCAGTAAATTAAAAAAAAAAAAAAAATCATTTTTAGTGTCCCCTACCGCTTCCTTTTTTGAGGATCGCCTGCTTCTTTTTTTTTTAAAGTAAAAACATGAAAAAACGTACTGCTTAAATGATCTTTTTCAGAGTTAAAAAAAGGAATTAAACATTAATTATGGAAAATGGCCAGAATGTCAGGGAGAATGTATCGAGTGGCCATTTTGAAGAAAAGAACAAAAAACGAGCCTCCTCCTTCCAATCCCTTTTTCAAAAAGGCAGGATGCTTAACATGTTTTTGTTTTAATGGCCTAATATAGTTTTATTGTAGAATGTAGGTGCTTTGCATTGTGGGGAGGCAAATATTTAAATGCAAATGTAAAATGAGCAGTTAATGTGATGGTCCATATTCTAAAGAATGTAAATCATGTCCACTTCACAATTCACATCTTTCCACATTACATCTTGTACATGTTTGCCAATGCCTGACGTGTCTTAGAGAGCTTCCCTCAGCCAACTCACAGAAGTAGCAAGCTTCAGCTGAACTGCACTTACAATGCATGGTTGTAGTACTAGAGCCAGAGGGCGGCCGTGGGAAATGATGATGATCGGAAATGATAATAATCGGGAGCGCCAGGAGGGTTTCATCTGACTGACATGAGGGCTATACAAGAACCCACTATTATTATTATTATTATTATTTATCTCTTGGGTGGTATCTATCAGTTCCTAGTAAATCGGCTTCATGCCAGGACGATGTTGGTATTGGGGCTTTGTACGTCTTGGTTTCCTCTGATGACAAAATAAAATGATGACCTAGAAATACAAAACTTTCATTGGTTGGGAGTTGTTATAACATTTAGTTTAGGCTTCTACATGTACATGTACATGTGCTTGCCTACTAATGTTAGTCTAATATTGCCCAGAATGTTTTGATAGATCTACTGTAGATGTAGACGTACTTGTTACTGCATTAGGTCCATGCATGCAATGCATCCATGTACACTGTACATATAGATTGTAGTATGAAGTATTAGGATATTTTGATAAGTTTGTTTTTATAAAAGAACAACCAAAATATATGGAAATTCATCCAATTATTGATAAATGCTAATTGATATTCTTTTAAATGTAAAGCTTTGCATGTCTCTCCTACATTTATATGTACATCAATAAATCAGTATACCGGTACACGTATACAGTCCATCCAAAGTTAACTTCATGCCTTATTGCATGTTGCTACATGTACATGTAACTCTAGGCACATACAGTGTACATGTGCTTCCAGTGTTTCTCTGTGAATTCCCAGTGTATAGTTACCTTTGTATGTGAGATTATGACATTCAGAGTATGTGAGTAATGTGACATTCAAATACATTAATCCTTGATCGAAAGCTCCTAAAGTTGGTCCAATCATCTTATTCTGTCTTCTTTCTGAGCTAAATTAAATATCATACTGTAGGCATTCACAAGCACTGCATGTACAGTGCTCTTGCACATGTTAATTTTAAGTATCTTCTATTTTTAATTAAATTCATTACCACCTCACAACCTTTCTATGTACTTTGAATGGTACTGATGTCATCTTTTGTGAAGGAAAAGAATATATTGAATGTACATTTTCAAAGTAACGTCATTGAAGGTACAACAACTATGCCCAAGACTTCAAAGAGGAATGAATAGTTAAACCAAATTTTGAAAGCTTATATTTTAGCCTGAAACCATAATAAAAAGAGATATGGAATTTGATTTCTTTAAATCTTTGTTGTAGAATGTATGTGTACTAATAAGCCTTGTCTCATTTGAAGGCTTTAGTGAGGTACACGTGTACATGTAGGACACATGTATTTTGACCTGCATGAGAGGTTCTCAAATTGCAATAATGTACATGTGCATACAGTATATGTATATGTAGGGATAATGGCAGTATACATTGTACATGTACCGGTACACACCCAATTGCAGTAAAATTTGGATGAAATTGGATGTACAAATTTCTGTGGAAGACAATCTCGGACATTATTTACTTTCCAAACATATTACTTTCCATTTTCTTGCATCATTCCATCCTCCCTGGGCATAGTCCCATTCAGGCTTTTACCAATAAAGCCAAAGAGCCAATATTGGATTATCAGCCTAGAATGATGCTATACAGTGTATACACTGTGTGTTATTATCCCTGGATGTGATATAGGGCTTGTGGTTTGGCATTTAGAAATGAAGAGAAGGAGTGCAAACACTTGAGTTGTTGTTGAGCCATTTCAGAAAGTGAAACCCCTTCAATGAATGAATGAACTGGTAGTGATACCAGGGTAAAGGTTGAGCTGAGGGGATGAAGGGTGGAGAGGATAGGGGAGGGGGAGAGGATGGGGGAGGGGAAGATAAGAGAGAGAGAGAGAGAGAGAGAGAGAGACTCAGAGGGAGAGAGAGAGAGAGACTCAGAGGGAGAGAGAGAGAGAGACTCAGAGGGAGAGAGAGACTCAGAGAGAGAGAGAGAGAGAGAGAGAGCGAGAGGCAGACAGACCATGGACCTAGGGATAGACAGAGAAGGGGGAGAGAAAGGGAAAGAGGAAAGATTACAATATTTCTCCCTAATGCTTTTAATCGTTTAGGCGTACTATTATACTGATAGCGAGAATTATTATTGTTCTTAGTTTATATTATGGTACATGTAGTCATCATCATCATCATGATCTTCATTATTATTATTATTATTATTATGATGAATTAATCATTATTATTATAACCTTCATCACCAGATCACTACCATACATTTACATGTGCATGTTA